GGGATCGCCTCGTACGCCTCGCCATATCTCCCCATATCTCCCCATACCCCCCCACCCCAGATATGGCACCTGGTACGCCTCGCCCAGCTTTTGCAACTTTTGCTCTCCTTCCATATCTCCCACCATATCTCTCCATATCTCCCCATATCTCCGAGGCACCTGGTACGCCTCGCCCAGCTTTTGGAACTTCTGCTGCGCCTCGGGGTCGTCCGGGTTCTTGTCGGGGTGCATGCGGCGGGCGAGCCTACCGCACCGCCCACGCGACTGAACCCACACTGGATTCGGTACTGTGGGGGCATGGTACTCGTCCGGGTTCTTGTCGGGAGGAGCATGCGGCGGATCAGCCTCAGGCTGGAGCGCTTGATGTATTATTCTACCATCATTTGTAGCGAATAATCATGTTTGAGCAGTGCCATCCTTAGAAGCAGTGGGGCGCGCTTTTATTAATGAATTAATGAATTAATTAATTAATTAATTCTACCAGTCTTGCCATCACCATTGCTATTCTCATCATTAGCGTGAGGTAGGAGCGCTAGGTGCACTCTTAGTCTGCCAGTCTTGCTGCATCTCGTCGTTAGCCTGAGGTAGGAGCGCTTGATCTCGGCCGCCTCGGCCTCGCGGTCCACCTCCAGGATCTCGTAGTATGCCAAATCCTGCGCCGCGTCGTCGTCCCCCGAGCTGTCGCCGCCCTCCTCCGCGCCCACCTTCTTCTTCTTCTTGCTCTTGTCGCCGGCAGCGGCGCCGGCCTCGCCGGCCTCGCCGCCGGCGTCGCCCCCTTCCTCGCCGCGCGCCGCCGCCGCCTCCCGTTCCCGCAGCTTGGCCGCGCGCCGCTCGACACGCTTCGCCTGCCGCGCCGCCGCCGCCGCGCGCCGGCGCGCCGCGACAAACTCCTTCATCTCCGCGTCCTCCTCGTCGAGCCTAACTCGCGTTAATTCGTGTTAATGAGTCGGGCTTCCTCCTCGTCGAGCCTAATTCGTGTTAATTCGTGTTAATTCGTGTTAATTCGTCGGGCTTCCTCCTCGTCGAGCCTCTGCAGTCTCCTCTCAGCTCGGCACGGGCTCTCGCAATGCAAGATCATCTGACAATCACAGTACTATGCAGTCTCGTGTCAGCTCGGCACGGGCTCTCGCAATGTAGTATAACAGTCCGCACCGCCTCTCGCAATACGACATCATCTCATCTCCTACAAGACATACCTCTCGAGCTCGTCCGGTAGGGAGTAGTGGATCCAGCTACAACATCATCTCATCTCATACAAGACATACCTCTCGAGCTCGTCCGGTAGGGAGTAGTGGATCCAGCTACAACATCATCTCATCTCAGACAAGACATACCTCTCGAGCTCGTCCGGTAGGGAGTAGTGGATCCAGCTACAACATCATCTCATCTCAGACAAGACATACCTCTCGAGCTCGTCCGGTAGGGAGTAGTGGATCCAGCTACAACATCATCTCATCTCATACAAGACATACCTCTCGAGCTCGTCCGGTAGGGAGTAGTGGATCCAGCTACAACATCATCTCATCTCAGACAAGACATACCTCTCGAGCTCGTCCGGTAAGGAGTAGTGGATCCAGCTACAACATCATCTCATCTCAGACAAGACATACCTCTCGAGCTCGTCCGGTAGGGAGTAGTGGATCCAGCTACAACATCATCTCATCTCAGACAAGACATACCTCTCGAGCTCGTCCGGTAGGGAGTAGTGGATCCAGCTACAACATCATCTCATCTCAGACAAGACATACCTCTCGAGCTCGTCCGGTAGGGAGTAGTGGATCCAGCGCCGGTCTGAGGCGGACCACGTCTTCCCCTGCGACGCCTCGTAGATGGCCTTCGGCGTCTGCGCCGCGCCGCGTACCACCTGCGTCGCCCCCGTCAGCGCGCCGGCCACCGGCAGTGCAGCGGCCGCCGCGAGCCCGCCGACAGCGCCACCGAGAAAGCCTCGGACGCCGGACTTTTTGGCGCCGGCGTACGGCAGCGCAACCTGGCGGAGTCGGAGGGTCGGCGGCGTCGCGGGTCGGCGGCGAGGGGGCGGGCACCGCAGCCGCGGGTGAAACGCGGCGCAAGCCAATGCAGACGCAAAACGAGCGGGGAGGTGGTGGTGGTGGTGGATATCCCTCTGAGGGGTGCGGCGCACTACAGGGGCGGGCCGAGGGGTGGCGCAGCCCCGGAGGGCAGCGCGGAGGAGAGAGGCGGAGCGCGGGCTGTGTCTGCGCTGCGTGGAAGCGGCACGGGCGGCCGCAGCGGTGCGTGCGCGCGCCAGCGAGACGGCCCCGGCGGCGATCCCGCCGGCGGCGAGGCCGAGGCCGTTGACCGTCGCGGTGCCGACGTGCTTTGGCTTTTGAAGGCCCATCGCAGCCATCATCTCGTTCATCTCGCGGTCCTCGAGCGTCTGCAGGGCGAGGCGATTGACGTCAGAGGAGTGCGAGGCGCCAACCGGCACGGGACATGGATCTCCAGACCAGAGAGGCGGTAGCGGAGGGGCGGCGCTTCACCTTGGCATCCTTCTTTGACAGCTTGCCGTCCTGCTCAGCGACAACGATGGCGCCTTCGCTGGCCTTCTCTTTCTTGGGCATCGGGCGAGCTGCGTCGGCGCGGCGCGGCTTGCGCCCTCCTTGAGTGTACTCGTAGACATCAAAGAATTCATGCGCATGTTCTAGGGTCGCAAACTTCTAGCTGACACGCGCGCCCCGTCGAGCCTCGCGCTGCGGTCGCACCGCCTACCCAAGTCATATGCCACGGCGTGCGATCTAGATTCAGCACACGCGCCTCTGCTCCTTGGCCCCCTTTTTAAGAATTCCCGAAGAAGGGAGGGGAAAACGCACGACAGGCGAGGCGCGCGGGCGACGGCTTCCTTATTTAAGAATGTTAGAACAAAACTCCATATCACGACACTCCCCTTTTTCTGCCTTTTTTAAGAATTCTTAATATATTGGTGGCAAACTTCTAGCTGACACGCGCGCCCCGTCGACGATCGAGCCTCTCACGCTGTGATGACAGGTGTGCACTTTTCTTTCGGCGTGCAACTGGATGTGATGTAATAGAGGTTAAAGAGGTTCGATTTATATGAGACGAAAAATCTGACGGCTAAGGCCGAGGCAGAAACGGTTTTCTGCTTTTCTCCGCTTATCTCACACGATTTTCCTGTGAAGAGAAGCGGTGGAGAAACGGACATTTCAAACTCGGTGTCGAACCACCAGCCCGACGCTCACTGCAGTGACCTCTCTCCGATGCCATCCGGCCGTCCGGCGGGGTCGGCCATACAGCGGTCGGTCGTTCCAGAGGACAGCAGCATCACATCAGCGATGTCGATTGTGCTTTCGCTTCCTCCCGTCGTCAACTTTGCGCAGACTAAGGAACCCTTCTACCTCGGCGACTACAAGATCAACTGCTTCGTGCCGCAGAGAAACGCCGACATGCACCTGGACACGCGAGACAAGGGCATCGTTGGCCACCTTTGCCGCGGCCGTGGTTGGGAGCCTGCGATCACCAACGGCATGCTGAATGCGCTGCAGCCGTCGTAGACCGTGGCTTGCTCGGCAACACCATTCGACTGCACAACATCGCCATCTCCGATCGCCCCGGCACCGTGGCCTAATCACAATCATTGTTGCCAACAACAACGAAGCTGGCAGGAAGAGTGCAAGTCCAAGCGAAGCCGCTCGACGCGCTGCTCTCGCGGACGAGCCACGGGTGGATTTCATTAAGATCGACGTGGAGGGCTTCGAGGCCAAGGCGTGGCTCGATAGGCGTTGTCACACCACATGTACACATGCACATGCACATGCACATGCAGTCATGCACATGCACATGCACATGTACATGTCATGTTGTTGTGCATGTGCATGTTCATGTTGCCCCACCTGTGGGCGGTCACCGGGGTGACGTCACGCCTCAGCGAGCTGGATCCGGGAAGGGCATGGGGTCACGCGGGCCCTGTCTGCAGCAGCAGTGCTAACTGAAACGACAAAATTCCGGATGGACCGGAGAGTGTCTACTCTCTTTCGACGCACCGTGCTCGGGCCCAACGAAAAGCTGGCTGGTGGTCGCGCGCGGCGCGTCGGCGCCCTCTCCAACTGGTTGGGCACCTCGGCTGGGTCCATCGGCACGAGGCCCGCCGCGTCGGGTAGCCCCGCGAGCGCATGGGCGGCCGGCGCGAGCGGAGGACGATGGGCCGAGATCCGCAGCTTGTGCCAAAAGGGGGGGTGGAGCC